TGAGGCAGAATTTGGACGCTGAATTCGTTCTATTTTCGGACTATGAGTTGTGAAACCTGTGGACAGGCGTTGTCGTGGAGCGGGATCGGACCACTTCTGTTGACCAGTGCCGCCTGCAGCTCACGCAATTTTTGTACATTTCGTCGATTTCTTCATGATAGAACACTGCTGTGATAGTTTGGACGGTTGGAGAAAGATATAGTGAATCACATCAGCACACCAGCTGCCGATCACACAGTAACCATGGCTTTTTTATGTATTTTTACCTCTGGGAAGTGCCCTAAGTGGCCCAACGATGAACAACCACTGTCCTGAACATCTCCCGTTGTCGTAAAGATTCTGATTTAATCACACGTGGCGATCTGATCCACAAAAGGATCGTTTTAGTTGCGCAAAAGCAAAGAAGAACAGGCCTCTAAACGTGACAATTTTTGTAGGTCATTCAAATCGTGGGGCCACTTCTCGAGCTCTTTGACCTTTCCGATGGATAGATAGATGGTTTGATAGATGTTTATCGACTACGGTATATAAAGGTACATTAGTAACAAGTCGGTGGTACAGAATGTTGATGAACAGCATAACTGAAAAAAGTATATATAAAAAAAACAAATAACAGGTAAAATATACAGAAAAATAACTGAATAAAATACATACAACTTCACAAGGAAACTGAACATTAAATGTGTATACTATTATAAAACTTCAAGCACTGAGGTTGTGGCAACATATCCCTCCGTACTATGAAAACTTTTTTTCACTAGATAGTTTTTCACATATAGCCAGTAGGCATACTTCTGGCTATAAATCAAATCATCTAAAGGAACAATTCGTTCATTTTCTTTCTTTATACAACTAATTGGACAAATTTTGGATATGCGGTTGGTTACTTCCTTCACATGCAGAAGGAGCGATGACAAACCTGTCGTTTATTGTCCGCTTCAGCCTATTTCGAGGAATGATACTCTGAAAGAATTCGATTTTCAATTATCGGAAATCATTGACGTTATGTTGATGATAGACACTACCTTGCATTGGCCAAACAGCTCGAAACCGGTCTGCGTGTTCCATTAATTGAAAATCTATTGCGGCAGTTGTATTACCAACAGCATATGCAGGAATAACTTCAATGAAAAATCCTACACTGACACCTATCGGATATAATCCAACGCCCTTCGTGGTATTAGCCAGAGGGGTAGTTGTTTTCTGATAGGTGTCAGTCCATTAACCTACAGTGTAAGGCATGAACGAATTGATCCTTCAGATGATTTTATTAGATAGTCCTTGATGTACTTTCTGAAACTTGGCGCTGGTAAATTTGTAATAATGGATGGTAGAATATTATATAGCTCTACATCAAGTGAGTTCTTAGAGAATTTTTGTAAATTGAACCGGTGACGTCTCAAAAGATTAGCCCCACGAGTATTATACCCATGAAATTGAGAGTTGGTCCAAAAACCATCTATATTTTTGTGTATTTCCAAGAGTGTCTGATATATAAAAATAGATGGTAACGTCATAATGCCTAGTCTTCTGAAAAATGCCCCACATGAATTGCGGAAACCTACGTTTGATATAATTCTAGTTGTACGTTTATGAAGAGTGGAAACTTTTCTGGCATTGGAGGAGTTGCCCCAAAGTAGAGTTCCATAGCCAAGTTTCTCAATTGCCGGAACAAAAAATCATCGTCAACAGTGATTCCCACAAAAATTTTATCAGTTGAGATAATTATTTTTCGTGTTTTTCACTTATTGAGTTTGAGAAAGTTTGAATTGAACCACGATTCACTTGTCTTTCTGCAAGAGACCTTGAATGATATTGATGTTCAGAAATTTCAATAATGTAATTAATAATGATTATTGTTTATTTTCTTTCTGTTGCTTGAGTTATTATACCTGTTATGACTGAACTGAGCAATAAATTACCTACGAGAGAAATGGAAATTTTTTGCAAGTTGCCATATAAGTAGAGTCTGACCAATCGATCAGCAGAATCATATAAAACTTTGCGTAATCATCAATCTTATTTAAGGAGAGCCTTTCACTCTCACTTGTTTGTTTCTGTTCACAAACATTCGCAGATGATGTGTGTTGAAGACTTCGACAAAATAAAATGGTTTTTGAATAATAATATACATATTTTTATAGCTTCTGTATAAATTAAATTTTTCATCAATACTTTAAGTATGTTAGTAGATTCAGCGATGAATTTTCTCTTCGGTTCATTTGAAAGATAATTTTTTACAATTGCTTTTCTTAAAATTCACAATAACTTCAACTGAATTCACTCATTTGCTATTGATTAGGCTGTTGGGAATGTGTCATTCATCACCGTTCATAAGTCTCTTTCGACATTTTTCGATTTCCTAACTTTCGAAGGACTCCAAAAATGTGTTGTCATGTACCGGTCTCAACAATATCAAACATTACCCGCTGATTATGTGGACAATTTCTGTGGCATTTGTGCTTTACTGGACTTCTCTTTTCTATGAAATCAAAGATAGTCCGCTTAATTTGACCTACATACTTTTTTCGTTTGAAAGTGCAATTATTGAATACACAATGTTTGAATATATGAACCTGTCTGTTTGAAAATCTGTTTTTCCATTAATCAGCTGCCGCCCCATACGAACGACATCTCTCAGAAGTTGAGAAACTTGTGCGAGCTGAGGACTAACGAGGTCTTACCTTTTAACGTTTGATTCCTAATACGAATAGAGTAAATAATTAAACTCGTATATCTCAACTGAGCTGGCATCCGACTTATTTGACGCAGCTGGACGATTATGCTGACCGGAAAATGGACGTAGTACGCGATACGTATATTTCGAAAAGAATGATTTTCAAAATAAATTTGAGCAATTTGGAAACGTTGTACAGGCGTCAGTCTATTCATGTTGAAATGCCAAACCAAACTGAACATAAGGTATTTTCTGGCGTTTGATCGAATTCGAGCGTGTATTCAAAAACGATTCGTAGTAATGTCATTAATAATGAAATTCGCAAAAATGGAATGATTCAATTTGTTTGTGTGTAATGATTTTCAAGCTTTATTTTATGCATACTGTACTTTTACTGTACTTTTAGTGTTGATTTCTTCTTGGACGCATTCATTTAATTACCGAAATAATATTTGTTTCTTCTCTCTCTGTATCTTCCCTGTTACTTTCGTATCAATCCCTATTACCTTTTTCTTTTCTTCTCTTCCATTGCTTTTTTTCGTTAATGATCTACAAAGGAAAATTAAATCTCATTCTTGTTTGAAATAAACAAGAATACAAGAAATAATAAAGGTAATTTTTACTCACCACAAATCAACATTTTAATTGAAGTAATAATGTCGCCGACCGTTTTCAAATAGCAGTTTACAAAAACACAGACAAAACACCGAAACCCTTTTATCTTTCCCCCTGCCGTTTGGTGGAAATCCGCTATTTCAATGCCGTCTTTCAATTTGTGACACATTCAAAATATCGATTACTTCATGCAATTGCTAAGAAATATAACTTGAAAACAGTAGTACATATACTTCAGGATCAAAAAACAATTCCGAATCCGGCAAAAGATGGAAGTCGAGTATCCCTATTGATAATGTACATACTGTAAGCAAGTATGAATCATTCTGAAGAGGAAAACGAGCGTTGCAAAAACTATTCGAAATCCTTCCATTGCTGTCTGTATTCCGATGGAGTTATCGAAAGCAGTAACTCATGAATCAAACACAACGATGACAGCAAGTAAAGTAGGTAGATGAAGCAGTAAAATGCGGTTGAAGATAAGTAACGCTGTTTGCAAGTTATATTGAGCGATCATCAATATGGCTTTCGGAAACAACGATCAACAGGCGACCTTCTATTTTATGTCATCCATATTTGGAATAACGCAATCGAGAAACATGAGCTGTTGCGCTCGATATTTATAAGGTTTTTGACCGTTTGTGGCATGAGGGTTTGCTGGCCAAACTTCCTGAAAGAACATTTCCTGCAAGTGGCCGTCGATGGATATCTTCCAAATACTTTCACCATCAACGGCAATGTTCCCCAGGGATTCATATTGCCTCCAACCCTCTTTTTATTGTATGTCAATAACTTATTGGAGGAAACCAAGAATCCAATATATTGCTATGCTGATGACAGCACACTTGTCTCGTCATTCCATTTGGATTCCGGGACATCGGCTACGGAGGCACATCTTCACCGGCGGCAGGAGGTTGCATATCTTAATGAGGATCTAGAAGTGATTTCGAATTGGGGTGAAAGTAACCAGGTTCTATTCAATGCCACAAAAACTCAGGCGTCAGTTTTCTCCAAGAAGATAAATGTCTCCGAACCGGATATAATAATGTTAGGTCAGACAATTCCGCTTTCTGCTTCGATAAGTTTGTTGTGGGTTGAAATCAACACCAATATGTCTGGCACAATCATGTCCCTGGAATTGCAAAGGCCGCTTCTCAAAAGCTTGGAATGCTGTTCCGAAACAGAAAACTGTACACACCTCAGTAACTTTTGATGCGGTCAAAAACCGATCATGTCTAGTATCTCTGTTTGACTGCTCGCATAAAAACGCTGGTTTGTCACATTGTAAGTATTTTTGGCAAAATATCTGATGATGAAAAGAGAGGTTCTGATAACCCCTATTTTAAACTAGCGAGTACGCATATTCTCGTATGAACGAGTACATATCATTACTTCATTCATCTAGTACCTATTGTAGTACCCATTAAACTTTTTGATACTAGAATACCTTTGAAGTTTAGTGAATTTGACACTGTCACTTTCTCAATTTTGATGTCAGTTTGTTATAAACTTATTCAATATCATGTAATTCGTAAAATAGTTATTTTTTGTAAAATCAGAAATATATTTACTACACCTAAATAGGAAAATCAAACGAAAGAAATATTCAATCAAGATAAAACATGTCTATATGCCTTTGTATGTAATTTTAATATTATTCTTGACTATAACAGTTGGACAAATGCTAATATCTATCTATTTTTTGCAGGGTTCGTGGTAGCAGTGTCAATAGGATGTTTACTATTTGGGATAATGGTATTAATATTCTTCACCGCTTGGGTCAACTTAGTCGTAGATCATGTGAGTACTGATTTTCACATTCGAAAATGTTAATGAGTTCGAAGAACATGGGGAAATAGCTCTAGTGAAAATAAAGAATATGTTTCTTAAATTTTGATTAGAAAATATGAAATTCTGCCGGAAAATAGAAAAGCACGTTTCACAACACCAAATATAATATAATATCTGCTATTGTAGACTATAACAGGATATTTTTTCGAAGTTGTGAACATTGAAAACTTTCTATCCAGACCATTCTGTCAAGATGGTTGTTCTGATTATATTGGAGTCCTTGGTGGAATGATGCCCTATCTACTCTGGGATCTCAAGATCATACCGACTTGTGGCACTAAGGCAGAAATCTTAGCCACACAAATACAGAAGGTTATCATTGTTGGCTTACCGCACTTACTCAGGACATATGATATTCTTGGACCCAATGATCACTTACACCACGGTGTGGGGAGTGATCCTGAATGTATCAGGGCTTCGGGAGATAAGGCCTAACCAGCGCAACCTCAGGTTGAAAAAATCAATAATAATGAATTTCTCAACCCGACAACTTCGGAAAAATAATAATGGAAGCTGTCAGCATATCTAGCATGTCTCATCGGCCTATATCCATCAACATAACGCAATCCTAAGAGTGCTGCATTACCGTCTACTCAATACAGCTTGGAATCGCAACGTATTGGAACAAATGAAAAAGTGGCATATCCAAGGAATGACTTGCTTTTATAGAAAATTTCTTGAAAAATTGATCCTTTTATGTGAGAGCTAATGGCATAGACTATGAGGAAAAGTACCTCAAAAACGGAACCTCTCAAGGATCATAACTCAGCGGCACCCTCTTCATCATAGCCATCAACGACATCTTGAAGAATATCAAATTCCCAGTCAAAGGGCTGCTATACGCGGATGACCTAGTCCTATTTGTCAGTGGCAAAAATATAAACACATTGGAGTCACTTCTTCAAGAGGCGATATCAAGTCTGGAATTATGGTCCCTCAATACAGGTTTCCAATTTTCACCTGCGAAGACCAAATGCTTCCTATTTTCCAAACAGAAAGCAACTAATTTCCCAAACTTTACACTTAATGGACAGCAGTTAGAATTCGTTGAGGAAACAAAGTTTCTTGGGATGACGTTTGACTACAAACTAAATTGGAATTGAATATGGGAACGCCCACATTCGCAATGTTACGAAATCTTGTCAAAATGGTTTGAACCTAATAAAGGTCTTGTCAAATCACACCTGGGGAGCGGATTGCAATACTTTGTTAACCATCTATCGGGCGCTAATTATATCTAAAATAGACTATGGATGTATTGCCTACTCTACTGCAAATAAGTCAGTTCTCAAAGAGCTGGATGTTATTCAACATGCCGCCATTAGGATAGCCCTAGGAGCATACCTCTGTAGTCCAGTCGAAAGTTCACTTATCGAAGCAGAAGAACAGCCTCTCGATCTTCGCCGTGAGTACATGACCATGACTTATGCTGCAAGAATTTCTGATAATATAAACAACCCCACCTATCATTATATCTTCAGTAACAGATTTTCTCTTCTTTTCAATCAAAGTAATAAAGGTGCTATACCACTTCACGCAAAAATGTTAAAAATTTCTAATATTCCTGTAGTCGCTGATAATGTCATGTCACTTGGTTTCTGCTCTTCACCACCATGGACCATAAAGATCCCATCCTGTAACACCCAACTCTCCACCCACAGGAAAAATGATATCACACCAAGTTTTATCCAAAAAACTTTCTCTGAAATAATCTCCAACTACAAGGAATACAAACACTTATACACAGATGCTTCGAAATCTTCTGATTGTGTGGGAGCAGCCGTCAATCTGTAGTGTTTATACAGGTGAATTATACGCCATAGATCAAGCCGTAGCACACTGTGAAAGACTGGAAGGCAACTCTGTTATTATCACCTATTCTCTCAGCGTAATTCATGGAATCAGACACTTATACCCAAGCAATTCACTACTTGTCCGTATAAAGGAAAGGATATCCAAGCTAATGCAGAATCAAAACTGTATTAAACTAATCTGGATACCTTATACTGGAATCAGAGGCAATGAGGAAGCCGATGCAGAGGCTCGCAATGTTACAGTTACTCCTTCCGCAACACTGTTTGAACAAATTTACCACTCAGATTACTTTAATATCATAAATAAACTAATAGCAAACACTTGGAAAGAAAGATGCATGGTCATGGAATCAAATAAATTACGTATGATAATCCCGACATGCGCTTCCAGAACTACCAATCGGCCCAACGTAGACATCAAGTCATTTTTACTCGCCTCAGAATCGGACACATAAGACTAACACACCAACACCTTATGAAGAAAGAATATGCTGCCGAGTGTGATATTTGTGGTGTAATCAACAGTGGGAAACACATTATCCTGGAGTGCCCAGTTTTTGAATATGAAAGACAAGAAGCATGACCAGTGATCTCAATTCTGCCCTAGACGTGGTGAACTTGAACTCTTTAGTAATCTTTTTGAAATCTATTCATACATTACATAAAATATAATTATACCTAAATGTTCCTCATACCAAAATATGTTGGAGTTATCCATTTCTTGATTCCTGATTGTTTGATCTGGGTATATAGATATCAGTCTGTAGGTGAATTTACGGTCTTGTTTTCTGTTTTCAAAATTTCATTTTGAAATATTAATTATCTCATACGTAGATTTCGCGGACTTTCTCATTAACATTTATAAATTCATTGAAACCGGTTCAAATCACAAGAACTATTTTTCTAACGATAATATATTTTGTATATTTCATGGAAAAACTTGAAAAAATGACAATATACGAATAATACTTTTCAATACACTAATAAGGCAACATAACAATATTTTTTTTTGTGAGGGAACTTTTCCAAAGTATTTTTAGTCAAACATATTTTGTTGTTCATGTTTTGAGTGTGAAATTATCTTCTTTGGCACTGTGCTTTACTCATAACTACTATATCACCTGAGTTTGCATTCGTCAAATGTCAAAACAATATAGTTATATCAGTTTTCCGCTTGTCTCAGATTGTTCAAAATAATCTTTATTACCATGTTATCTTTTGTTATTACTTCTTCTTCGCGTGAACAATGGAAATGATTTCACTTCGAAGTTTCAAGGCAACATGCTAATGCAATATTGGTATTCATGTAGTGAAAAAAAATTGCAAATGACTATTCACCGTCGTAGGCGTGCTCGGTGACGTGTTAGGGGTAATAATTCATGATATTTTCAAATGAGTTTTTCTTTGTATTCACTGCGAAAAATATCCTAACTACCATTGGTGAATTGAAACTTTGAAATTCGCGGCGATGGATATTTCAAACAACGGTTTATCGAAATTATTGCAATTATTGCAATTAATTTATGTTGTCACGGAGTATCTGATATAATTGCGAAAAATAGGTTTTTGAAGTGATACATATTTATAGGAGGGTAAACCGCTTCGTTACCAAACGCGTAACGGGGCCAGTTTGTCTGGTTTCCCTTTCTCCTACAAATACGCCAGCGAAAGGCAGGCGCCTCCTCTCTCGTCGGACATACGCTCAGTGTTTAGTGTGCGTTAGACATATATTGTTGACTGTATTATAAAAATCTGACCAGCGAGCACGTAATATTCTTTTATTATGGGAAACGTGGCTTGAAAATGATGATACTAATTTTGTGTATGTACATTGTTAGTAGGTTTCATTATTTGATCCTATAAAAGTATCTAACAATTGGCTTGTGTACATACACAAAATGAACAATTAAATGAAAGAATGTGAACTTTCACGGCCGGAAATAACTGTATGAACATTATTTTCCGGGTTTAATGTTAATGCGTTGGATAAAACAGGAAAAAGCAGCAGTAGATGAAACCTTTCCTTACATCATATATTAAAATACATAAAATTTAAGTAGTAACCTAAGCTTTCCTCAAGTTAAACAATTTCAATAGTGAATAGTTCAAATTAGATTAGTTTGAGTTATAACTTCTGTCGGGCATCTCGACACTCACACTTTTTTGAGTGTGATATGTGAAATATTCACATAACAAAACAGACTCTTGTGATGTACTGTGATGAATAGGTAGTTTAATCTTTTTCTTGAAGATGACAACTTGGTGATTGAAACAGTTAATCAAAAAATCTTCATGTTCAAAAAATAAATAGTTTTGAAAATCATTCCAAACATGACATTTCCTTCGTATGTTTGATTATTGAGTCGGTTACTCAGCTGCAAGATATTATATGCAACTGAAGAAATTCCTAGTATAACTATGAACGAAAAATGTCACAGGAGTGTTACGTGCTATATGCAAAATATGAAGGAAAAAAGTTTTTATTTGTTTTTATTATTGAACAAATGAAAATATAATTGATCGAAGGCAGAATGCATTTTTTTACTTTGAAATCAACAACCAACCTGACCAACAGGGCCCAAGATCAAGGAAAGGGTTAATTAACAGAAGATGACCAAATTGAAATTTGTAATTGTTGATTTCGTGCACAATTTGTGAAACATGTTGATTTTGTTGATAGATTTTTCTACTAATTGATAAAATCAATGCACTCATATTAATTTTGAGTTCCTGCAGAAAACTGATTTCAGTGACTGTGAACAAAATTGCCCAAAAATTATTCGAGAACAAACAAACATAAGTTCCTATCCTGCATCATTTGCAAATGATGCAGATGAGGAATTTGATGAGCCTTCGAAATCGAAAAGCAAGGGTTAATTAACAAAAGATTTATTGAATATTTCAAGGATTCGGAAATTCATAATCAGGTTACTAAACCGACAACGAATAATGAATAATGATTTTTCAGAAGCAACTACATTACCAGAAGTTATAAACATTTCATCCAGTCAGGTATTGAAGGTAACAAATTAGAAAATTCCGTTTCATGACTCACGTAAGCTACAACAAAAATTAAGTGAAGACACGTGTTTCTATTGACTGCCTTTTTTAAAACGAAATATTCAAGAAGCTAGCCAAATGATGCCAAATGATGTAGCAAACTCATTTCAAAGTGTCTGGAAAGCTTCTCGTTTTTCAGACTTCTAGTGTCAATAAAGTTTTTATCGGATTTCATCTGGCTGCAGCATATCACTGATACTGCAGATTTGAAAAAAAAAATTGTTTTATTTTCCATTCTGTAGAACGATGTCAAGGTATTTGTGTTGAAAATATTTGTAGTTGTGTGAATAATAATAAATGAATATGTCAAGCGTTATAACGCGATGGAAACTCCAAATTATAATAAAGGTTTTTATTCTGCAATGGGGACAATTCACATATGTTTATTCTCTCAAAAAAAAGTAGTAAATGTAAAAAGTGAAAATATATCGCAGGATGGTTTTTGTTTTCCAGTTATTAGATATTCATGAGTGAGCCTTGTATGGCCGAGGCGAAGTCTGGTGATAGCTATTTGATGGCTTCTGACTTTAGTTGAAGTTTTGTAAGGTGTTGAAATGATTTGTTTTATTTCAGCTAGTTTTGAGGGTTGTTGGGACCATACTTGTTGCCACGTATCAAGCACTTTGTTTTTTATGAACACTTTGAGGTCGCTAGGTGTTGTTCTCGTTTCTGTCATGGCATCTGCTTGTTGTGCAGCTTCTTTCGCACTTTGATCGGCTTTTTCATTCCCACTAATGCCGATATGGGATGGAACCCATACTATAGCTACCTGCTTTTGTCTTTTCCGTATGGAGTGGATGGAGCTCAGAGAGTCGGTTATTATAACGTATTTCGGGTAATCTGTTTGTTGCATATAAGTGAGAGCTTGAAGAATAGAATATAGTTCTCCAGTAAACACGCTCCATGTACTGGGAAGTTTATATTACATGGTGGTTACCATGTGGTTGATAACAATGTTGTTTATTCTTGCTTTGTCGTATGTTGTGAGGTCAGTGTTTATTGAAATGGATTGGCTCATCCACGGCGGTGGAGTTATGATGTTTGTGTAGATAGGCGGTAAGTATTGCATTTGTTGTTCCTCAGATAGAATTCTTTATTTTATTTTTTTAAGAACAAAGCATAAGCACTGCAGGAAACTCCTTAAAACGATCCAAGAGCAGTGCCTGTGCGAAACTAGCGATTCATATTGGATTTGAATCGCTGGAGAATAAATCCATCTGGAAAAACGTTCTCAGGAAGTTAATTCCACATAAACGCAGTTCTCCAAATAAAAGAGTTCTTGAAAAGTGAAGTTCGAGGTGTACCAAGTTGAACCTCGAAACGATGAGCAGCCACAGCCGTATTTCTGATATGTACCGCTTTTGGTGGAATCAAATGTGCCAAGTCACTTAAGCACACTTACCTTCCTTAGATGTTCCAGACTACCAAGGTTGCTAGTGGTATTCGTGTCTCCAATCAGGCGGATGGCTTGTTTCTAGATTGCATTCAGTAGCTTAAGGGTATGCTTAGGGGCGGAGCTTCATACACTCCAAAGAAGGTCTGATCTGAGCTTTATGAAGCATCAAAAGTGGCTGAGGTGTGTACAGTTTTCTGGCTCGGAACAGTGTTCCAAGCTTTTGAGAAGCAGCCTTTGCAATTCCAGCGACATGATTGGACCAAGACATATCGATTTCCATTTTAACCTCCAACAAACTTATTGGAGCGGAAAGCGGAATTGTCTGTCCTGATATTATCATATCCCGTTTGGAGACATTTATCTTTTTGGAGAAAACCGATACCTGGGTTTTTGTGGCATTGAAATGGACCTGGTTTTTTTACCTTGGGAGCTGTCTGACTTGTCCATTCAGTTCAAGTCTCCAGAAAACACTGCAGCCTCTTAGGCTTATCGCGTTCATTCTCCCATCTTCTCATGACACCCATTCCATCAGTCTCGTTCCCTGTACTAGTTTGTACAGGTTCCGTGTTGGATGTTCGTCATATTCTTCTGAGCGTAATTTTGTACGTCCATATATTGCCTGCCTCCTGTGATTCAGTGCCTCACATTCGCATAAGATGTGTAGAGCTGTTTCTGTCATTTCGTTTTCGTTTTTTTCCGTTATTCAGGTGTCCTCTAACCGGACAATGACCGGTTAGTAACCCTGTAATTATTCTAAGCCGGTCCCTACTGTATTGAAGTAGTGTTTCGGTTCTTTTCTCGGACGGTTCCTTAATGAAGGTTTTACTGTGTTTGTTGTCAGGTACTTTTGTCCAGTACTCTATGTGCTTCTTATTGGTCTGGTTTCGTACCAATGCTTTTGGTACCCTCAGAGCTGGTTCAGGACCTATATATGAAGTTGATGATCCGCGTCTAGCGTATTCATCAGCTTTATCATTACCTGTGATTCCTGAATGCCCTGGCACCCAGTATAAAGTTAATTTGTTCCTGTTTGCAACTTCATTCAGTTCTTCATGGTATTAAGAAAATGACTTCCAACACCGAACTTGCTTGCGTCTACTCAGCCCTAATTCTGGTTGATGATGATATTGCCGTGACTGGTGAGAAAATCCAGACCATCCTCAAAGCAGAAAATGTTGACGTAGAACCATACTGGCCTGGTCTTTTTGCAAAAGCGCTAGAAGGAATCAACGTCAGGGAACTGATCACCAACAGTGGGTCTGGAGTAGGAAGTGCACCCTCGGCAGGAGGTGCTGCAGCTCCAGCTGCCTCAAGAGGAAAAGAAGAAGGAAGAAGAACCTGAAGAGTCTGATGATGATATGGGTCTTGGACTCTTCGATTAGAGTACAAGTTTTCTAACTATGTGACATAGGATCAAACTTTTTCTAAGTTTTTCTTATTCCCAGACCAGTGTTGATGTCACCTTCGGGTTTGTCAGAGCCCCTAGTGCGCTCTTGCTATCTGTAAAAATATTGATCCGCTCATTTCTTTGAGGTCTCAATTTAATAAGCCTTGCATACTGCGCAAGATAGCATATACTTGGACCTGGTTACTTCCGCCTCAATTCAAAATCACTTCTAAATCCTCGTTGAGATATGAAACCTCCTGCTGCCGATGTGCATCCGTAGCCGATATCCTGGAATCCAAATGGAATGAAGAATGCTGTCGTCAGAAATGCAATTTGTTTTTTTACAATAAGACGTTGATATACAATAAAACGATGATGGGAGACAATATGGATCCCAGGGGAACACCAGCATTGATGGTGAAAATACTCGAAAGATATCCATGTACAGCCTTGCAGGGAACGTTCTTTGAGGAAGCTGGATATCCATACACAGAAATGACTCGACAGCATTTTAGAGGGAATTCAGTATCTCGAATGAATTTGTTACCTTTCGAGCAAATGACAATGAAAATATATGAATGGCCAATCTTTGAGAGGAGAAGTGCCAGTGTTAGTTATCAAAAAATTTCTTCAAAAAGGGCAACTTTCCAATGATACCGCGATTTCAATCCGATTAGCGAATGTTCTGATTAGTGAATAAATATTTTGAGAGGGATGGTCATCTCAGAAATATTGAAATGAAAACGTCAAATCTATATTGTTCAACTGATAGTCCAGAAGTCAAGAATTCAATTACTTCATGATGAATGTATTGCCGTTGACACCTAAGAAATGAATACATTTTGGGAAGTCAATTAGATGAAGACAGTTTCCACGTCTCAACGGACGACAATAATGAACAAGCACTGAAGAATTTTGAAATATCAAACCAAGGTCTAAGATGAGCTGAGCTCATCATCACATAGATGAATTTTATTTCTGTTTGAAATATCAATGGAAATTCACTACAAACAAAATAAGATCTCAAAAACTCAGAGATTGTTATTTGGAGAACGAAGAATATTTTGGAAATGTAGTTGAAAGATAATTTTTTGTTGAATAGCATAGTTCAAGATGGAGATGCCATAATATGACAAAATAAAAGGAAGTGATTCGAATACTGGAAGAGTTTTATGAAAATCTTCATTGAAATTACTTGTCATTTGGAAACACCTATGGAAAAAGTTCCTTTGCATTAAAAAATTCATGAGAAGAATTGTATTCTGAAGAAGACATTACATATCTAGTTATTTGTCCTGAATTTTTGGGCAATGTTAGTATTCATTCCATCAAAGAAATAAAAAATATAGAAATCGAAATCAAATGCTAGTGTGAATTACTCTGAAGAGTTATGGAGTTGTACATTTGTGAATTATATTTTCTAAATGCTGAATGTCAGAAAATGGTACACTATTTGAAAATTGAATCAAATCATTACGTAAGAAAAAGTTCAGAAATGTCAAATGAGGCAGTTTTGATGGCCAATTTTCTCCCCAAGATTTTCCTATGAATTTGGCTGCATGCTATAGAAAATCGGTAACTGTTTCAATGTAAATACCTTTACATTACACGTTGCTTTCAAATGAGTACTGATATCAATAATTGATTATTAAATGAAGACGTTTTCGGTACCATATGTTCATATTAATTATTTTCTTATAAAATTTTTCTGTCACCCTTTCCTTTTAGGAACGGTTATTTTCCTAAAATTATCGATACTGATTTGTACATATTCAACAAAGTTTAAACAAAATCAATCGGGTGTATTCTTTGTTGCCCACAAACATATCAGTCATATGTTAGTGTTTTGTGATTTTGCCCCAGTAAAAATATCTTATATTTTTTTAGAACAGACAATTTTATTCAGATATAAAAATAATAGTCGAGAATAGTTTACGCTTGTTAGCGGTGAGTACAGTGATTTGATATTATACGTGAAATGCGTTTTGTTAGTTATGGCCTAGATATTTATTTAATTAATAACGCTAATACTGGGTTATATCCCACTGGTTCAGTTCTGGTTGAAATAAACTGAGATTTGTTATTATTAATTTGAAAATTTCTATATTCTCAGCAAATCAGTCAGCTGCAATATTATACTTCATCCCAACATGACATCTCTCAGAAATCCAGAATCGAATAGTACACTATTATTGAAAAACACAGTACATTCCATTTAAAACGAGTCACCCTAAGTAACTTTTGGTACAATGATTTTCAGGAAAAATGAAAAACCACGTCAACAATAGTATACAGCTCCCTGATGAGCAGATTTCAACAAAGTATAAAGCTTCTGGTTCGGGAGCTACAAATTATTTGAGTTGAAAACGAGCCACAACATTTGCAGGAAAAATAAAAAACAGGTCAACAATCATACAGAAAGCCACATTTTAAAATATTCGTTCTAGAGACAAATATGGAAGCAGTTTTTGAGGTCGTTGTGTATGAACGTGTATGACGGTATAAATGAGGATTCGTATCACTCCAATATCGGCAAAATTGTTAAAACCTAGGTAACAGATTGAACAGAAGTTCATTCAGGGAGGCTCGTTTTCAAATCAAATAATTTTCAGCTTCCAAACTATGAGCTTTAGACCATAATGTATTCTACTTTGTTGAAATATGTTCATCATGAAACATCTGAAAATGCAAAATAATTGATCCATTCAAAAAAAGAATGGTGACATGCTCTGGGGGTGCGACAAAGAAAGTTAGATCAAATGTGAATATGTCAAAATATGTCCCCCTGTTTTATACTTTGTCGAAATCTGCTCATCATGGAGCATCTGATAATGCAAAACAATATAGGGTGATTCATTAAAAAAATTGCTGACATGCTCTGGGGGTGCGATAGGGGAAGTAACATCAGATGTGAAAATGCCAAAATGTGTCCCCCTGTATACTATGATTGACGTATTTTTTATTTTTCCTGTAAATCATCGTACCAAAAGTTATTCAGGGTGGCTCGTTTTAAATGGAATGCATTGCATATTTTTGACGTAATTGCTTGGTCTATAAAGATAACTACTAAAACTGACTCAGCTGATATTGAATTGAGAACTTACAAATGATAATCTTATTTTTTTTTGCACAACTCAGATTGGATCAAACTAGACCACAAATGGTGATGAAGAGTGTCATGTGATGGGATTACCGGCTCTCAATCCCTCCTTCAACATAAAATTCATTAGATGATCCAAGTAACTCATTCATCTGCCATTTTAGGAATATCATAATCAACAATAAATTATTTCAGATCCTCTTTCGAGAGATTTATTATTTGTGTCATGAAACTGTATGATGTGCTACTGGATCAAATATAAAAAGGTTCAACAAAAATACTTCTAATAATTTTGATGGAACTGAGTAGAATAAAATCAGTATTCAGTAGTTTCTTCAATAAACAAGATTGGATGTAAAACAGATAACAAAGCAGAAAACCATTAAAGATCGTAATAAGCTCTTTCTCAAAAATTCATGTCCTGATTCATTTTCCAGCAATTTATTATACTGTCAATTTTTTTACTGCTTTATAGATACACTGGAATTGGGTGATGAAAACACATTATGTATATATTCACAGTAATTATCAATTTATATTGAAATTACTCACGGAAAGTGTTCAAATGAATTGGCACATTTGATTCCACCAAGAGCGGTACATATCAGAAATACGCGACGGACTGTGGCTGCACAACTTCACTGTTCAAGAACTCTTTTATTTGGAGAACTGCGTTTATATGGAATAAACTTCCTGATAACGTTTATCCAAATGGAACTGCGTTTATGTGGGATAATCATTAGATTTAATCTCCAGCGATTCAAATCCAATGTGCATCAATACTTCCGTACAGGCACCGCTCTGAGAGCGGCTTAAGGATTTTCTTGTACTGCTTGTGTTTTGTCTCTAAAAAAATCTATTGTAATTCGAAAATAAATGATTATTGGAAATTCAATTTATCTGTCTAAAAAATATCCGAAAATATTGTGAATTTTGCTTTTTTCTATAAGGTTGTTTCAAAATTTTTGACGTTTTGATGTCATATGTTTTTATGACTTCATATCTCAATAATTGTTCATTTCACTTTGTTGTGGTAGGTATATAATGAACGATACAGAATTTTGTACTCTATACATTTTTCCAAATTCTTTGCATCTTTTCAGCTCGGTAATATATATCATGTCGCTGAGCAATTTTCGGACAATTGTTTTCTTCGAATTCAAATTGAACCAAAGCATTGCCGAACGGCCTAAAAAAATGAACAGGCGTTTGTCAATGCCTCGAAGATGAGTTTCGAAGTGGTCGCCCTACACTAATCTAGGACGAGGATTTGAAGACTCTTGTGGAGACTGACCCATTAAAAACGGTGTATGGGATGGTGGAAGAACTGGGCGTCAGCACCCATGCGGTTTTTTGATGGTTCAAAACGTGTTGAAAAGTTCAATAAGCAACCGGGTCAATTTGAACAAAAATACCTCTAATATCCGCCACTACATAAACTTTTGTTTGTTTCCACATATACTTTCTCCTCAAATGGTTTTTTAATTCCAATAATTGTGTTTTACTTTATATAATATTGTCTTATGTTACATAACGATACGGTCTCATACGGTTATTGGATTGGATAATATAATTTGATTAGGCGTTTCCTGTTTCAATGACACATTCAGCATGATGTTTATTCATTCATGCAAGGTGGTGTCGAAGTCAGTAATTCAATAAGAGTTATTGCAAACTAAAAATTTCAACAACAATGTTAACGATGAATAAACATCACCAGAAATATACAAGGGGCATCAAAATATAAAAATTAAATGATTTCAGTAAGTTCGAGGTT